GTTCAATGAAAATTTTGGCAGCCTCCCGGCGTCGCCTCCCCACCGAGGGAGAAATCGGGACGGCAATGCCGTAGTTCTTCCCGCCCGGATCAAAGATCGACGGCGCGAGGTCTTCAATTTTAAACCATCTCACCAGGATCTAAGATCGACTGCGTGAGGTCTTCGAATTATAAAATCATCCGCCCAGATCTAAGATCGATGGCGCGGGGCTTCAATTTTAAAACCATCCCGGTCGGACCTAAGGTACGACGGCCGGGGTCTTCGGCACCTGTTGAAAATCCTTTACATTTCTCTCCATCTCTCTTTATATAATTATATATTATATTAAAATCATAATATAATATATTTATTATAATATAATATTATAATATTATAATGTTATATTAATATAATATAACATTATATTAATATTATATTATACTGTTATGTTATAACATTATATATAAATACTATTATATTATAATATATATAATATAATATATATAATAGTGAGGGAGAGGGGAAGAATCGGGAAGAGGAAGCCCGAAGTCGGGCTAGGGCATGGCGACGGCTCACGCACGGGTCGGCGGGAGCGGGAGATCGGTGGGCTTCGGCGTCGGCGGCAGTCAGGCCGGCGGGAAGAGGCGGCGGCAGGCTTGGCCGGAGCAAGTGCAGGCCGGGTCGGAGCCGAGGCTGCGATAGGTAAGTCACGAAGTTCCTTTTTCGTTGGTTGCTTGCGATCTTCTTCCTCAGTTTCGATTTTCAGAGCGTATGTGTGCGTATCTTTCTAACCGAATGAGAAGAAGTGTTTTATTTCGTGAGTATGTCGGTGAATGAGCCGATGCGTCGTTTGGGTATGTCGGTGAGGGAGTCGGGAGCGGTTTTGTCGTACGCTGAGGTGGAGTGAACGGTTACAGTCAACAAAATCCTGAGCTTAGAGCTACTGTAGGTATGGTTCTTTAGGATTTGCACTCGTTAGTTTAGAAGGAACAACTTTAACCTAAATTTGTATGCTCGCAAAGTTTGTAAATAGAGTACTAGTAAATGTCATTTAGGAGTACTGAGATATCTCCTCATTGTTTGAGGAACCCTAGATGTTATCAGAATCAAGGATCACCAACAATTTCAAAGTTAAACCTCCCATCGGGATGATAAACGAAGTAATTGTCCATTGATTAAAATCTTACTCTTAAGTGAAGTTCATATATTTTCAAAGCAAAAATTGCTGAAAAAATTATCTTTAAGTTTTTCAGAAGTATTAGAAGCTGCTCTCAGAGGCTCTGTTTGTGCTAAAAAAAGCCAAGGATCCATGATAACTGTCGCGGGTGCTCGTGTTGTATGCACATGAATGTGCTATAGTGCCTTATTTGTTTATTTATTTTTTAAATGCATATAGTAAATTATTTTCTTTTTTATTCTCTTTAAAATTCAGTAATGTTGACTACTTATTTTCATCATTATCTTCGATGCTTGATGTTACCACCATCATCGCCGTTCACTATCGTCAGCAATGTTAACACCTGTTGTAACCACCAAGGAAAATGCCCACCATCTCCAATGTTGTCACCAATATCGATGTCCGTTATTGCCGGTAAAGATTATGCCTACCATCACCACCGATTATGTTGCCAGCGGTATTACCAAGAATGATGTCTTCCATTGCCTATAATGTTGCTGACATCCGTTGTTGCATTATTGTCGATGTTTATTGTCACCACAATTATCGTCGTCATCCATGTTCGTCGTCACCACCAAGGTTGATGCTCTTTATTTCTACCAATGTTGACACGTGACATTGCCATTGCTGATGCTTAATTTCGCCTCTATGGCTAATGACTCTTGTTGCTACAAAGGGCGATGAACACGTTTCTGGTGGTTAGTTTCCTCTTTTGTATGGAAAATGATTTTGCATACAATGGATCATTTCATGATACTACTCTGATGCCTCAATAAAGGGCTCATTTGAGACCATAAATGGGATTGCATGTGCATTAAGATATGACTGTCCGCTCTTGTCCATGAAAGCAGGTATAGGTGCTCGTGTTGTGTGTACATGAATGCGTTATAGGGCATTATTTATTTGCTTATTTAAAACTCTGTTGTAAATTATTTTTTTCTCTTTAAAAATCCAACAACGTTGACACTTATTGTCATCATTAAGGTAGATGCTCGATGTTGTCATTTTTGTTGTTGTTCGTTGTCATCACCAATGTCTACACCCATTGTCGCCACCAAGGATGATGCTCACCGTCACCATTAATTATGTTGGCATCATTATCACCAACAACGACGCCTACAACCTACTGTGACCAATAATGTTGTTTATATTCATTGTCACATATTCGTTGACATTTATTGTCACAACCATTATTGGCGTCATTTATGTTCACCATCATCACCAAAATTATTGCCCTTCATTTTACCAATGCCAACGCATAATGTTGTCGCTATTGCTGATGCTCCATTTCGTCTCTATGACTAATGCTCATTGTTGCTCTACCAAGGCCGATAAACCCCTTCTTGGTCGTTAGTCTCCCATTTTATATTGAAAATGACTGAGCATACTTGGGATCATCTCATGATGATACCTCCAAAACCCCAGGGCTCCTTTTACTTCGACCAAGGAAGTTGTCTTCCATAATTCATGTCCATTGCATTGTATTAAGGTCTTATCTAGTTATGGGGAAGAATATCCTTTGTAATATATAGTTTCACTAGTGGAATAATTTCAATCGGACTAGACCCCGTGGTTTTCTTTTTTCTTGAGTTTTCATGTAAAATACCTTTTATCTCTTTTGACCTATTCTATCTTATATTTGTATGTTCAAAATTTTGATAAATACTAAGATGATAAACTCTTCTTTTTTATCGCTATGAATGCTTCAACGCATAACAATTTACCTTGTTGTGGTAACTATGCTTGTGCTTATATACATGGCATGGCTTGGAGAAGTGGAATCAGGAAGAGCTCAGGGTGTGCAATTGACCACCCTAAATTCTTTTTTTTTTCCTTAGAAGAATAAACATTTTAATTATTTTGCCCACGTTCAATAAATGTAGTTACCCAAATTATATGAAATACATTATTTTTTTAATTTATATATAAAATTATGTATTTCACAATCCTATTTAATCCACTCTAAAAAGAGGCTAATTCCGCCCCTAATGACATGTCATTCTTCGTGTTATAGTTGAGTTACATCTTTTAAAGTTTCATGTCAACTTTTTTTTGGAGACATTCATGTTATTGAGGCTATGGAATCTGATATGGCAGTTGCTCATTCTTCTTGTTTTCCTTTGTTTATTGTTTTTATTAAAAAAAAGACTAAAAAAATTATTTTCTCAAGACCTTATATCAAGCTAATTTTAAAATGGATATTTTAGTATAAGAACATAAAGTTGTTACAATTATATGACTTTTGATCTTAAGCTTTTAAGTTAATTGATTCTAGTTAAGGGTGTCAATATTTGACATGACTCGAAACTCGACCTCGACCCGACTCAAAAAATTTTGAGTTTAGGTCAACCTGTTTGTTAGACAGGTCAGGTTCAGGTTTTGTTTTCTTACCCGTTTTTAAAATCGGGTAGGGTTCGGGTTGACCCGGAAATCCAAAATCAACTAAAAAATTACACGAATCCCGTGATAGTGATCGCCCGCAGCGCTTTCGTGCTCATCTCCGCACTCCCACAGCGAGCCCTCCCACGCTAGCGTTCGCTCATGGACTCCCGCTTGCATCGCACTAGTGCGTGTGCTCGCTCTTGCATCAGCACCCTAGCCCGCTCCTGAGCTCGCACATGCGTAGGCCACACTAGCCCGCAAGTGCTCGCCACCTTGCTCGCAGGCTCACGCCCCCTTTTCACGCACACACTCTAGCCGACCTCGCTTGTCACGCCTGTTATATTCCAGGTTAGCGGGTTGGATTGGGTCCACACAGTAACCCGGCGGGTGTGGTCCAGTTCGGGTATGAATTTCTGACCCATTACAAAATCGAGTTGGGTTTAAGTCAGCTGAATTGGATCTAGGTCAATTCCGGGTTCGACTCGAAACCGACTTGAATATCCATTTTGACACCCCTAATTCGTGCTTTAAGATATTATCAAAGCAGTTGGTGCACTATTTATGTTTTAGCATGTGGTATATCATATTTTATATGAGATGTTTACTACATATTCTTGTATTTTTTTTGGGGGGTAAAATAACTGTGGTTCAGCTTTTAGGAACATGTAGTTGCTACGTTTTGACAGTTACAAACTCAAAAGCTTAGTGAGATGTGCGCTATTTATATGTGTCAAGAATGTTGTTTGTATGGCATTAAAACCCTTACATTCAGCACTGTAATCATATAGTTATTTCTTCATGCTACAGTTCGGGTACATTTCTAAGTGCATCTGAAGATTCAACAGAAACCTTAAAATACATTGAGGGAAAGATTGCCAAAGCAACGATGATCCCAAGAGATCATGGAGAGGTATATCAAACAGATTGATTATGCCTATTTTTATGCGAAATTTACCTTAACAGAAATATTCTTCTGTGTTGGCTCTTTCTTTTTTGGGTTAAATTACAACCCAATTCTCATTTTCTGTTTTGTAATGCCGTCCATAAGGTTTGCCCGAGTTCGAGGTACAAGTTGGCAGATAAAATATTAAAAAAAGGTGTAACCAGAATGGTGCTTCCACCTACGCTGTATTTAGGAGGGATTTTGCACGTGGCCTTATCCATAGAGGCCATTTCCATAAATGAAAGTCTTATCTGAAGTTAACATCCATTATTTGGAATCTCTTTTAGGTTTGTGGGAAATAGCCTCAATAATAAAATAAAATAAAAAGGTGGTAATAGAATACATATGAGCTTCTATTACATTTTATTCCTAGTCGCATTTTCTAAAACATTATATACCCTCTTTCTAATCCTTTACTTTCCCTTATTTATCTCATGCAATGATGTCCCTTGATTAGTGGCAGCACTTCTGATTGAGAAAATAAAGGAGCTTGTGAGCTATCGTGAGGATGGCAGACTATATAAGGAAAATGCCTTTTTATGACTTTTTGGGAGATAACAATGTTCGTTTAAATAGTTCAAATGAACCTTCTTTGTTGTCTTTAAATGGTTGATTTTGGTTTTGTCTGGGCATTCCTTAAACATCTTACTGTCATCCTATTTGAAGTGCACGCTTGTGTAGTGGCTATGCTTGGCAACCTAAAAGTTGTTGGACTTCATCTAAGAATCGATTCGATTCTCCCAATCTCTTGCTGAAAAAACATTTTACACCACAAATGCATATTTCAGTGCTTATAGTGCTTAGAAATGAGTGAAATGTGACTTGTTTTACCTCTTCTCACCAATTAAATGAAGGATTTTGTAGCCAATCTAAATGCCAAATTTGGTCGTGTGGGAAGTTCAGTTCTAAACATAAGAAAATCTTTAGTTCAAATCACCTGTCTCATCATATAATGTGACTTGAAAAGAACCCTAATAATTAATCTGATGAGTTATGTATTAACTTTGAGTAGGATTTAGCTCTAGTTGAGTGTTCAAAGGATTATCAACTATCCGTGTAGCAGCAGGTAAATGACAAACTTCAGTTCATTCTGACTAATTTTGTTTGAAACACTTCTACGGACCATCAAAGTTCATTTAACATCTTATTCATGGTTTGTCATGTCCTATTCTTTATGATTTTGTCTTGTCTCTGTATTTGTTTCATGTCATATTGTGTTGTATAAACCTTCCCGAATATCTCTGGAGTGCCATCCTTTTCCCCGCCTAATTCCTCCCACTCCATTGCCACCTCGTGCATCCATGGGATCCCTGTTGCATACTCACAAATCCATGGGACGATTTTTTTTGTAGTTGATTTGATTACTTGATTTCATATGTTTCCTATTAGAAATATTCTGAGTATATAAATTCTGTGCATGTTGGAGTGAAACACCCTCGATTATTCTCCAATTATTTTCAATAGTTACAGCTTTGAACAAAAATAATGATGTAAACTCTTATAATTTTAATGGATTTGGTGATTTATTCCATTTTGCAAATATTGAAATTACCCTCAATCCTGAAGAAAGAAATTCATAAATTTATATTAGTCCTACCAGTCTTCTTTGTACTTGTGTTGTGCCTTGAAAGATCCCAATAATTCATTAAAAGGACAATTGTTTTCTTTCGTGCTAATAGGCTAGGTTTGGAAATAGTTATGAGCACCACTTAAAAAGGATATGAACTGCATACTCTCGATATAATGTTGCAGTCATCGCTTTCAATTGTTAAAGCATGTAAATAAACAAGTGGCATAAAGGTCAATGTGGATACTATTATTCTACATTAAAAAGTTACAATTTTAACAAAGATTATTTGATATTCTTATTAATATATATTTAAGACAAAAGTAATTAAGCTCATTGTTAGAATTAATTACATTTTGGTTCATCTAAAATCAAACTTAATTGACCAAACTAAAGTTTGATTTTATTTAGTTTGGTTTGAAAAATAGTCTGTTTGATTAAATTTCATGAATTTTATAATCGAAAGCTTATTCTTGAATCAAATCATCCAAATCGACCAAATGCACACCTTTATGCATGAGTAGAATTGATGTTGTACATGAAGATAAATTCTACAGCGTTTTAGTGTTTTGGATTACTTTAAGATTTTAATGCATTTTTTTTAATATTATGTCAGTATTAGCTTTATTTAAATTAGATAATAGGATTTTAGGAGTAATCTAAATTTGAATTCAATTAGTTTGATTTTATCTTATAAATTTTAGTTTATAAATATGGATTGAAAGGATGCTATGTTAAATTTGAATATATTAGCAATTTTATTTGAAAAGATTCCCCTTGTTATTTTATGTGCCTCCACATGATATTATTTTTCTTGTTGCACTCTTCTCTCTCTCTCTCTCTCTCTCTCTCTCTCTCTCTCTCTTAATATATATAATTTCTCAGAGACAAGTCGATTGGAAAGGATGGGGGTGTCAAAGAAGCAACGAGCTATTGATTTGGGGAGCTATTGATTTGGGGAGAATTGGTTGGGAAATTTTTTATCTTAATTGAAACCCTAGGCAACATGGGTGAGGTGGAGGGAGAATCCAAGGTTTTCATTCCTGAAAGCCTGATCGTTGTTGTGATTGACTTTGCTCTCTTATCACCACTCCATTTCCATCCGCCATTTCACAACCATCTGCCATGGGGTTTCGACAAAAGAAAAGATGGGAAGTGAGAAAATGAAGCGGGTGAGAGTCAGGCCAAGGGATAGTATTGGAAGCTAGGTGGTGACTTTTGAGAAATCCTGATTTGGTTTTTCACACATTCTCCGATGGAAATCAAATCCTATATGTTGAAAGATTTTTGGTCTGGTTAACTTTTAGATTTGCATCTTCATCCGACCAAATTGTAAGATAAAATTCATCTGTTTGAAAAACATGATTCAACTTTCAATAATCAGATTGCTCTAAACTTAATCGTACAATCTATAAATCATGCGTTTTGCTCTGTGATGTAATTTACCGACCATATTTCTTCTCGATAAGCCTAGTCATTGGGACTACCAGCGGTAGGATTGGCTTTGCTTGAAGTAATAATTGTGTTTACTTGGATTATACTCAATGTATAACTTTCCCCCACATGTTATCCCAATCATTACTGTTTTGATGCAACATAATGTTTTATTTCATTTAAATCTTAATTATGACCATTTTTTTTTTATGGTGAGGCCATAATGTGAATACTGCAATTTCATTTTTTTTTTCTGTTTTTTTTTTTCTATTTCATTCGTATGCACAGATCCTTTTTAATGATCATTTTAGCTACTAATATTTTAAGATAGTGATATCTTTGACTTTTGATCCTCTGGGTGTTCCTTTTTTTTTTTTGTGCACGTGTTTTCAATTAGTGGATTCTCAATGTTTCAGGTAGATTCTGAAACTTTTTAAGTAATATTGAGGGCTATACCAATGTTGCAGGCCTTCAATATTCTTCGATATGAGATTGGACAGAAGTATGCTTCTCACTACGATTCGTTTGATCCATCTGAATATGGTCCGCAGAAGAGCCAAAGAGTAATGAGCTGCCACTTTATTTCCTTAATTATAATTCATTTCTCAATTTGCATGCTTTCTTGTTTAAAGATCCTAGTTATTTTCCGTTAACTCATTTTTTTTTAATTTGAATGCTCGAATTGTTACTTAACTGGTAGATATTATTGTGAGAGAGAAGCTAAAATGAGTGCAGCCTCATTTTATTCTTCCTTCCCACTGTCAAGAAAGTTAGAGACAACTAGAACTGTCACGACACGGCCCGGTTAGCTCGTATAGACGAGGCGGGAACGGAATTGGACGTTCAGAACATTTCAATCCTCTTAAAATATGTATTTAAAAATCTAAAAGACTTCAACAATAATTAAAAGCGTCTCTAAACTTTTTCCAAAACATATATTTAACATTTCAAGTCATTTCAAAAGAGAGTTCATATACACAAGGTGGTTACAAAACTGAATTATATGCCAAAACCACCCAAAAGAAAAATCAACTACAACTTAGAAAACATCAAAAGAACCTTTCAGCCGGTATACGTCGACTGTAGGTGTACCTTGGGTGTTCCGCCATCACCTACGAGTAGGTTCTCTTGAAAAGTATCCCGAAACGAGGGAGTGAGCTACGTTCAGCAAATGACAACTGCATCTAAAGTTCATGTGCAATGAAGAAGAAAACAATATCCAAGTTGATAACATATACTTCTATGTCTCAATGTCATATGCTTAGTGTATGTCAAATGCCATGTGCTATGTTTACCATAATGTCTTGAATCACATGCTTAACATGAGACCTATTATATCATATGCTCATTCTTTCTTTCATTTCATGATATGTTTTTCAATGTCATGCTATTCATTAACATACTTATTCTCTTATTCGTATCATATACATCCGTACCGGAGTACCGAAATTGTACTGATCAGGTACACATATTTAATGACCAGATCATTTTCCTTTCTTTCCATATTGCCTCAAAGGGCCATATTTGCTCCAAAGAGTCTTATTGTGCCAAGGCACCATATTGGTACTCCGCCTCAACATGCACAAACTTTACATTTCATTATCATAACATAAAATGATAATATGAATCATACATATGATGTATTTGATTAAGCATGAAGATGATGCATTTGATTTAGCATGAAATTGAACGTTTTAACATATGAAGAGCTTTCTATCCATATAAGCATAAGCAAGTAAGTACTAAGTGAACGTGGTATATAAGCATTTGATTACACATGAAAACTTGTAAAGTACTATGTAACTTTTATGTAAAAGCTTTCTATCTTGCATGCTAACATGACATAATAAAATGACATAAGGGAATATACACCTAAGAAAAACAAACATGTACTCTAGAATGTAGTGTCACTTACCTTAGGTTTTCTTCGTTAAACTTCTTCGCACAATTCCTTGAATTGATCTTGTCTTAGGTGGGTTCAACCTAAAGAACACAATTACTAATAATAATTATATATTCTCATTAATCGTTCATTCTCTAAATTTTCCTACAAACAATGGGACTATATAAATATGCTTAAAGCTTTAATATTACCCTACACACTTAATTCTTAATACCATGACCTAACCTAATGCATTTTCATCATATCCCTTCCTTAATTAAATACATTTAATTGAAATTTTCGGTTTATTTAAATTTAAAAATTAGAAAAATATTTTTTTTGATAAAAAATGCATTTTCTCATAATTAGAGCCTTCCTAAGACCTAAAGGATCAACCTTTGTAAATAAGTTTTCACAAAATCTCAAATTTCGGAAAAGCCCTAATATTGAAACCTAAATCCTTTGAAGAAACCTTGCATTTTCATAGCTAAAAAATTGTTCCTAAGCCTTCCCTAATCTTCCCTCTAAAAGATTTTAACATTTAAACAAAACCCTAATTTGAAATTGAAAATTCTTTAAGAAAAATCTCATGATTTCATGGAGAAAAGCATTTCCTAATTCTTCCCTATAACTTTTCTTTTAAGCCTTAGAGTTTTGAGTAAACCCTAAAAATCTCTCTCAAGAAAATTAAGAGAAAAATCCATTATTCTTGCATGAGAAGTTTACCTTTATCTTCCCTAGCCTTTTTCCTTCGTTTTCCCCCTAATTCCGCCGTCGGAGAGCCACCGTTCACCATCGTTTCCCTTGCACCCGCCGCCCTTCTTCGCCTCTCTCTTGCATGCGGCCGAAGAAAACAAGAGGGACCGAATGGATCGGCCCCTAGGAGGATGAGGACTTAAGGGATTTTTCTCAGGTGGCTTATTACGCATGTACCCTCCCTTTCAATATTTCCCTCAGAGCTCATGAGGGGCAAAAATGGAAGAAAAGGCTAAAAGTTACTTAAACTTCTTCGGCGAGTTTTAAATTTCAAATCCGTGCGGAATTAGGTATAAGTTCTTTATATCGTTTTGATCGGAATTTCGTGTCGAATTTAATAAAATTTATTTCGTCGAATTTCGACAACTTTGAAATTTTGCCTAAATTCGTTGCGGCGCATCGAAATGCGTGCGACACATTCTAACTATAAATATCGGGTTTTACAAGAACTCTGTTTCAAAAGCATTGAACCAGAATTGTTCCCAACCAATAGAGAGATATTAATGCAGGAATTTGTAAATTGTTAGTACTTTAACATCACTTTGAACCTTAGACCCAAGATATCTAAAATATCCTCTTATTAATGACTTGATCGCCCAAAGTCACAATCCTCCCACTAGATCTATTACTATTAAAACTGCACTCTATGTATTTGGTTTTAGATATGCTCAAATGAAAACCTTTAGACTCTAAAGTTGACCTTCATAATTCAAGTTTATCTACAACTTTAGTCTTATTAATAAGAAGAATATCATTACAAAAAGCATACACCAAGGTACATCAAATGTCTTGTAAGAACATCCATGACTAAAGCAAAATAGATTTGTGATTAAAGTTGATCCTTGATGCCATCCAACTGAAATAGAAAAGAAGACAAACCACCTTGTGTTTGAACACAAGGAACAACTCCTACATACATATCCTTAATGACTTAGAATATAAGCATTACTAACCCCTTTTGTTTCTAGAACACTCCACATCACTTCTCTTGGAATTTTATCTTATGCTTTCTCTAAATCAATAATTATCATATGTAGATGCTCCTTATTCTCTCTATACTTCTCCATCAAACCTCTTAATAAATGTATAGTTTCCATAGTAGACCTACCCGGCATGAATCCAACATGATTTTAAGAAATATTAGTATCACGTTATATCCTATACTCAATAAGGGTGTAAATGAGCCGAGCCGACTTTAGGTCTACTCATTAACTAGCTCGCAAGTCAAGCTTCTTGAGCCATGAGCTCAAACTCAAGCTCGAATATTAAACGAGCTCGAGTTCGAGCTTGACAAAGTTTGACTCGTCACTCAAAAGAGCAGTTTAATCTCGAGCTCGAGTCGCTCCCAAAGAATGAGCTCGAGCTTGACTCATCCATTTTTTCTCAGGCTTGAGAGCTCGACTCATGATGAAATGGAGGCCAGAGCTTGCTTTGTCATCATTGGAGAAGTGTTGGGCCTGCCCGCTATAGAGAAGAAGATCGTCTATTTTCAAAAACGAGAAAAGCATTTTGTTCTCTTTCGCCACTGTGGAAAAGAAAAAAATGATGAAGGAGAATATGTTGTGTAGCCTTAGTAAAGCTATTTTATAGAGCAACAACTATTTCTAAAAAAAGAAAAATCAAAATAACTATATAATTGGTTTTTTGAAAACTTTACTCGTGTAATATTTTTTTTGGGTGAACTGGTGTTAAAATTAAACAACTGTTGTATAAGTAATAATATATTAATGCTATAATAAATGTTATATATTTTTTAATACATAAAAATTTTATGTTACTCTAAATTTTAAATAATTAATTAATTCGAGCCGGCTCGCGAGCCGTCGAGTCAAGCTCGAACTCGAGCTTGTTTAATATTAGAGGCAAACTCTCTCCCCATAGTTTAGACATTACTCAATAACTCTCTCCCATAGTTTTAAATATTTAATAATTTAAATAAATATTATATTAAAAATTTAAATTTAAATTTAAATTAAATCTTTAGTGATATATTA